ATCATCAGAAACCACCTGCTCCTTCTTAGCTAAGTGGCTCGAGAAGCATCAAGAGAACTTAGGCTTGCCTTCTCCACAATCCTATAACAGTGAGTTCATCGAGTTACCCACGTGCAAAAAGAAAGAGTGGCAGCCTTTTGAAGTTTATCATTAAGTTGTCAGAGGCAGAAAGAAATCATCCTCTTGACTATCACTGTTCATTAAAAGCACATGATTTCATAACATAACTATTTCCAAAAGCCAGCAATATCTCTGTGATGTGAAAAATAATAAGTTTATTTCCATTGGAAGAAAAATACTTTTCAAAGATGGATTCACTTATATTGACTTCTCTGAGTAAGGAAGGGTCCAATACAGTAAAAAAAAAAAAAAAGGTGGGGGTCTTTTTTTCCACGTATGTTTAGCATAAACTTCTTCACTTATCAAGTTAAAAACAAAATGTGACAATTGTTCTGAATTATTTCCTTAGATATGTAAGGATAGCAAATACTACAAGTTAAGCTTTATTTAGAAAATCTTGTTTGTGCTATTTATAATTAAATAGCTTAATTTTAAATCACATGCGGGGATGACTGCTCTACAAAAATTAGTATGGGCAAGAAAAACCTTCTGTGAACTTACAGGAATCATTTTCCTTCTATTTGAATTACATTTTGATAAAAAAATGTACTATGTCTAACCTCAAGAAAGAAGTTAAACACTCTAGATTTAATTATACTGAACATAGATAAGATTCTTCAATTAGAAACTATGTATTTATAATACTGTCTCCCAAACCCAAGAGAGTTTAAGCATTCCTGATTCTTTCTAGGATTTGCCCATCTAGAACAGGTAATAACATAACCTTCATTACACGTTGGGAGATTCACTGAATTTAATTAATTAGCTGTGCTTTTTGATGGTTTAACCCACATTTGTACAAGTAGTTCTTTAATTAAACAAGAAAAGCATGTCATCTTCTAAAGACAGATGAAGACTGTAGTTCTCTAAAATTGTCATCAATAGATTACATCATTAGAAAACTAACTTCCCCCAAATGAAAACAACTCGTCACCTTAAAATAGCAAATGATATTTTAATTTCTGAAGTTGATAGCTGCTTTTTAGGGGCTTGGCTACTAATTTTTAAAATGACTAAAACAGCTGCACATATCCATGAATGTTTGTTTTCTGGGGATTTGTATGAAGATAAAAGTATACATGATGTACTTCTACAGACAAATCTTCATCCTGCATTTCACTTCACTTGAAATCTATAAATAAATTTACAAACCAAAATATCAGAGCAGATAAATACCACTACACAAATCGGGCCAGGTCAAACTTAAGAAGGACAATAAAAGAGGCTTAGAATAAATACTGTATATTCTTCTTCCCATAAAGTTTCCTTTCTGTGTCTTGGAATCTAGTCAGGAAGATAAACAGAAAGAGTACACCAAAGGCTATAAGCAGTCATTATAGAGCTCACTGGTTTCAAATACAAACTGATGCCAACACCAGGTAGCACTGGCAGTGTATATATATATATGCATTATCTATTTATATGTTTATGTCTGTGTGCATGTATATATGTATGCGTATATACTACATATATATATATACACACGTATGTATATATACATAAAAATGAATGCATCACCCACTTATGTTGGCCTTTGCCTTATAAATATAAGTACACATAAGATCTATACTCATTGATTAGCTCCAGTTCTGACAGGAGGTCTCCCTCCCACAAGTACGGCTTGTGCACAGGTACCTCCGGTGTGATTGAGGTTTACGAAAAAAAAGATGGCAGGCAGATGCCAATTCTCTTCAGACACCTTGCTTGGATTTTTTTTTTTCTTTTGAGATATAATTCACATACCATAAAATTCGTCTTTTTAAAATATACAATTCAGTGGTTTTACTACCTTCTCAAAGTTGTACAACTGTCACCACTATCAAATTCCAGAACATTTTCATTGTGCTTAGGGTTCTAAAATTTAAATTTATACCAACACCACTTCATCAAGTGTTAGATACAGGTGAGCACAGTGACATAACCTCAGAAGTAGATGTTTGCATATCATAAAAACAGACACAAAACACATGTTTAGATAGCTACAGCAAGAACGTGACTACTGAGAGCTATCCTCCCTATCCTCCCCTACCATGCCCAAGAGAAAGAGTATCAAGCTGAAAAAATCTCTTGGAATATCTTAAGGTAAGACATTTCTGGACTTCTTTTTTTTTTTTTTTTTTTTTAACTGACACAATCTTCCTAACTCCCTTGCCGGATGGCAAGCTAGAGGATAAACAAGGCATTTTAAACACTATGGATCCTAACGGTTGAGGAGGGGTTGTCAGTGAACTGGTATAAGTTCTGACTCAATGCCTTCAGAGATCTTCCCAAGTTATTCTTGAGAATTTTCGGGTTCCCAGTCCAAGAACTATGAATTATAAAGTGCTTATTCCCAGGGCACAGATCTTATTCTTGACAGGATTAAATTTATAAGTTGCTAAAATGTATTTCCTAAGACACCTTCCTACTTTAATGAATACAACTGTAATTAGCTTCTTAAACTAGATAGTGAGTATCTGAAAGAACAAATCTGTTGATGGTTGGACACTATGTTGTCAAGTGTCACCTTGAAAATGTAATTATAATGTGAGGACTATAACTTTACCAAGTTTAACTCCAGTACAAATTTCTAGACATTATTAAAAGTGGGACTTCCCTGGTGGCGCAGTGGTTGAGAGTCTGCCTGCAGATGCAGGGGACGCAGGTTCGTGCCCTGGTCCGGGAAGATCCCACGTACCGCGGAGCGGCTGGGCCCGTGAGCCATGGCCACTGAGCCTGAGTCCGGAGCCTGTGCTCCGCAACGGGAGAGGCCACAACAGTGAGAGGCCCGTGTACCGCAAAAAAAAAAAAAAAAAAAAAAGTGTATAGAAATATTAGTTGGATGATGTATTGACAAGCTATTACAATAATACAAAAGAAATAGCTATAGAGGGTATCTGATATGCATAAATAGAGCATTCAAGCTTAAAAGTAGTACCTGTTTGCAAAACAAAGACCAAAAAAAAGTTTAATTCTACTTTGACCCTTCAGTAAAAACTGTACACATCAATAGTATATTGTGTGATAATTACATTTTAAGAAATAATATGCATTGTACTATTTATTTATACATAGCTGCTTTGACACAAAAAGGATATAAGAAATAAGTTCAGTTCCAGGCTGATTTTAAATACACCACTTTAGTCTTTCATTTCCCTCTCTTCTATTTTGAAGTATCCTTCCTAGGTTTTACTCATAACAATGGCAGCAATAAGAAAATTAGAATGATGCAAGCAGTAGGAGAGCTTCACTTTGGATCCTTAATAATATTTTATAATTACTACTTCAAGCCTTTCTAAAGCAGCATGCTACATAAGCTGCATTAAAACTGGTTTTATTGAGGGGTGGAAATTAACTTCCAACTTTATCTATGAGCACCTTATATGGTAATAGTTATCTGCCACAGCAATATGTGGGATTTTATTATCAGCTGGTTTTATAAACAAGGGCAGTAACACACTGATGTTAGATTATTAGGTAGCAATACTTGAGAGAAATAGGAGAAAGATAATGAAGGGACTGGTGGAGCAGACACAAATAAGGTGATATTATTCTAGTAATAATTGGGTAATTAGAGGCAGTGGACCTAATAAGGCTAATCACAACCATTTGTTGAACACCAACTATGTGCTGGGTACTTAACATATAACATCCCTCATCCTCACAACAATCTTTCAAGGAAATGTGTATACTATATGTTTTACAGATGAGGAAGAGGCTCAATAATTAGTCCAAGATGCTGAACAACGGCATAGGGATTAAAACCCCCAACTGGGACTCCAAATTCTGTCTCCTTTTTCAGAAATTCAGGTTTTTAACTCAGGTTTTTGTATGGACTACAAAATCCATACACTCCTTCCACCATTCCCCTATGTGAACCTCCAATGCTATTCAATTCAGCAACGGAGACAAGATATACTGTGTAACTGCAGCTGCCCGTGTCCAGCTCTCTGACCACATGGAGGCAACTCTAGTTATACAAGCAGAAGTCATCCCACAGTGGGTGGTTTAATTAATAATGTCATTGCAGTACTTTTTGGCATTGCTGGTGCTCAATGTATGAATACAATACTCTCTTGTCCTAATGTACTGATGTGGAGAGGGAGGGAATAATTCTGTATCTGTAGGAATCTGAAGAATTAAAACATGTTGAAGAGAGACACGAATATTTCAGTTGGAAAAAAAATAAGTTTGAAATCAGTACTTCCCCAATATTGTTTCATGGAAACGCTGTTGCTAATTACCACTGAGGAGATCTTTATGATTGGCCCCCATTTTTTTAAATACTACAATTAACTAAGATATTAAACTGAAATCATCTTGATTCTTGAACTGCATACTGTAATGAAATGTCACTGTTACTCATAAATTTGTTTGTGGAAATAAATGTTGCAACAAACACCATGACTGTGCTCAATATAGCTTTGTGGTTTTTATTTTTCCTTTTGAGTGAGTTTGTATTTTGAACATTGGCTACAGACAGAGGTAAGTCTGATACATTCTTGTGCCAGTCTTGGAGCAGTTCGCCTTCTAAAAGTCTTTGTGGATGTGACTGTGCACAGCTAAAACCGTACTTTGCCATTTTCCTTTTTTCTCATTTTTGAAAGTAGTCGATAGCCACTTTCTCTCTTTCTTTTTCCCTCTCTTTCTCTCAGCTTCTTATGAAGACTCCCAGTATAAATGCAACAGGTGAAGTTACCTACAAATATACAAACTGAAAGAAAAGAAATATTATGGTTGGCCACTCAGGAGTCTCCTGAGATGAAAACATACCTGGACATTGAGCATGGTCAGAGAGTCTACATCAACCAAGAAGGAACAGAGGGAACAAACTTTCCACAGCTGCTACTTTAGGGGAAAGAAGGCACTTGGCTCTGACAGGCGACCCCTGTCTCCCATACCTTGTATCTATCCATTGGGTCTTCCTGCTGCAGCTGACTCTCTCGCATTGCCTGATATTCTTTCTCATATTTCTTTAGCTTCTTGGTCGGTACCTGCAGGGATTAGAGGACAAGCATGTTAGTCAAGGAGATCATTTAGGAAACCATTTTCTGATGTGTTTCCCAATGAAGTCTCTGGCATTCTAAAGGAGTGCACCGGACTCAATGTGGGGGGAAAATCTAGATTCTAGGACAGGGTCTGCAAACTTTTTCTGTAAAGGTCCAGACAACATATATTTTAGGCTTTGCGGGCCACACAATCTAGGTCACAATTCCACTGTTGTTACTGCACAAAAGCTGCCATGGGTAATAAACAAACAAATGAGCATGGCCGTGTTCCAATAAAACTTTATTTACCAAAATGCGCTGTAGTCTGTTCTACAACATTGCTGATATAGCATCACTTTTTCTTGTTAATGTATTTAACAGTGGTGTTAATTCTGTTAACTAACTTTCTTTAAGTAAAATTCACTCTCCCAACATGTTAAAAGTGAGAATTATTATTTTATAAAAATAAAATATTGAGCAACACAAAAAAATTTTAATGGAGCTAATAATATATCAGAGAGAAAACAGATTCTAAAATTGGTAGGCAAATTTCTATTTCATAATGGTTGTCAGGAGAATTAAATGACGAAGTATCTAAAATAATGCCTGGTTCATTGAATTTTTTAAAACCGTGTTTTCAGAGAATATTCAAAAAATTAATCCATTTTAATCTATTACATGTTATACATAACAGACTAAGTCTACTCTTAGGCTTTTCTTGGACAATCAAAATTATATAATTCCTTTAGACATCAAAATCTTTCCTTAACGTTTAGGTCCTAACGTAAATGACTTGAAATGAAGAATAAATTTATCGAAATTTTTTAAAAGATAAGCGCATTATTTGGCTAATTACTGGGGACTCAGTGAAGGCAAGGACCATGTATTGATGCCCTTCAGCATCCAACATGATGCCTACCAATGTAATTGGCCCCTAGGAGGCCCTCAACAGATTGTTTCTTGTCGACTTCAAAACATGGTATTTAGAAAACATGTTAAGTGTGTGAGAGAGAGAGAGCAAGAGAGAATGGAAAGCACCAATGAAAATAAAATTATCTTATGGTTTTCCAGGATGAGGACAGTTTCAATTCTCTTAAATCTGGCCACAGAATTTGTTAAATAAAATGCAAAGACACCGGGTGTCATCCCCCAGCTTATTCTAATTACTTTGTTCTTCCCATCCAGGAACGCTGTGAGTACTGGAATTATCTGCTTCTCACCACAACTGGGAAGTTGCACACAGTCCAAACCTGTCAGGTAGTGTAAATCATTCAATTACCACATGATGACAGTATTCACCTGGCTGATGGGGGGACCGCCTACCCAATGAGACTAGAAGAAAGAATATTTTCCAGCATGTCACTGAATTGCAAAACCACTGCTGAATATTGGCATGAGAAACTCTAACCCTTTACTACTCCATCTCCAGAGACCTTTAACAGTATGCTGTGACCAACGAGAGTGCAAGAGAAAGAAAAACACCACCTGCCAACTGCGTGGCCTCAAGATCATCGATAAACAACAAGGAAAATATACATGATCGTGTGCTAACAAAACAGCAACCACATTATTTTTCTTGACTTTGAGAGGGGCAATTTCCTCTAGCTTTCTTTTCTCTGTATTAATCATATACTCTGAAAACCAAAACCAGACTCTCAAGACCAAGTGGCAAATCACTGGCACTGAAGTAGCCCTGGAGCTGAGGAGAAAAGGGAAGAAGTCCCAGAGTTTTAAGCAGTGACAGGGGTTTCCTGCGGATCTCTAGAAGGAGGGGGTCAAGGGAGAAGTGAGAGGATTTGTGTAGAGGCATTGTGAGGAGGGAGCCTACTCCAGCAGCCACTTACCACAAAATGAGAAGGAAGTACAATATGTTAATATTTTTGTAGCTGAATACTGGCACCACTGGGTATCAGGCTGAACGTCAGTCTTATGTGGAAGTATTTTCCACATAGTTCTAAAATGGATCCATTCACCAATAAGTGAATTACATGTTACAAGCTTGTCTCTAGAGAATTTCTCCTAAAACTGTATTTTTTAAATTAGAACTATTACTGAGGTTTTTTTTTTAATATGTAAAAGAGTGTCCTTTTAAAAGTCAATCTTGTTATGTTAAGCGGTTCATTTCAAAGTGAAATTTTAAAAAAAAGCATGAAACGCCCCTCAATAAGCTAATCCTTTCCCATCTGGCTGAGATTCTAGGATGTTTGGCTTCATCTTGTTCAGGGAAACAGAGCAGGTTCCCAGAACAATATGTTGCTAGGAAACCTTCCAAGCTTATTTATCTTGTGCTGTGGGGTGATATTGAGCATCCACCTGTGATTGGCACAAAGTAAAAGGGGAAAAAAGGTGGAGGAGGAAGGAGACCTGATATGAAACTCCCGTGGTTTATGAGATAAAGAAAACAGACTGTTACAGTTTTCAAAACTATATTTCAGGACAAAATTGATTTTATTTTAGGTAATATAATATTGAGCTTGAATTTTTTCTTATCAAAGAAAGGAATTTTAAAAACCTCTTTAGTATGTAGTTTTAATTAAAAAAACATAAAGTCATTAAGAATGATTAGAATTTAAACAACCTACTATCTCAAGAGCAGTATAGGTATCTCTCCCCTTAAATTAAATAAATTTAATGTAAGTGTGTACTTGAGGAATGAGATGTATAGGGAAGAGGGGACTTCCCTGGTGGTCTAGTGGTTAGGACTCTGAGCTTCCACTGCAGGGGACATGGCTAGATTCTTGGTCAAGGAACTAAGACCCCACATGCCTTGCAGCGTGGCCAAAACAAAACAAAACAAAACAAAATAGGGGAGGATCTGCGTAGGTTATATGCAAATACTATGCAATATATAAGGGACTTAAGTATCCGTGGAGTTTGGTATTTGCGGGGGGTCCTGGAACCAATTCCCTGTGGATGCCAAGGGATGACTGTAATTACTAATTTGCATTACTCTTTCTAAAGGTTAATCATGCAGGCCTCAGTTGGAGATGTAGGAGGGGAAGACTGAATAAGAATACAGTAGTTCCCTCTCATCCACAGGGGATGTCTGAAACTGCAGATAGCACCAAGCCCTACATACACTCTATTTTTTCCTATACATACACACATACCTATGATAGTTTAATTTATAAATTAGGCACAGTAAGAGATTAACAATAACTAATAATAATATAGATAACATGCTGTAATAAAAGGGTTACTTGAACACAAGCACTGTGATACCACGACAGTTGATCTGATAACTGGGGTGGCTAAGTGACTCCTGGGCAGGTAGTGTACACAGAGTGGATACGATGGACAAAGGAATGATTCCCATCCTGGGCGAACTGGGGTAGGATAGCGTAAGATCTCATAACCCTACTCAGGACTGCTCAAAATTTAAAACTTATGAATTGTTCACTTCTGGAATTTTCCATTTAATATTTTCGGACTGCAGTTGACTGAGGGTAACTGAAACCTCGGAAAGCGAAACCACAGATAAGGGGTGACTAACGTATGCTCAACATTCTTCGTTTCCCATGCTCTCTCTCTTCTTTTCATTTAAAGCACGTATTTCCTGTTTTTATAGGACTCTGATAGAATAAATATATATACATATAAGTATACCAATTAATTTTACATGAATTTGTCTTAATAATCTTTACCTCAGTAACCATATCCACCTGAGTTACTTTATTTCATATTTTTTACTTTTATTACGTTATTTTGAATACTCCTTATAAATACTTGAATTTCATGTGCATTAGTTATTTCTAATAAAACATACTTCTCTTATGTATATGTATTTGGTTAGGTTTCCTGCTTATCAAATGTGATTTTTATACATTTAAGGAGTTCAGGTACCTTAAAACAATAAATCTTAAATTTGGGGTAGTAATTAATGGAGTAATAGAACCCTTAAGTCACAAATTTGGAATACACCGATTATAGTAACTTAAGGAAAATTTAAACAGAGAAAAGAGGGAAATGACACAATGTAGCAGAACACATGTGTGGAGATTTTCAACCTGATCTAAACTCTGCAGTATATATGGAATGATTGTTGGCATATGCTGATCTTATGAAAATAGTATTTCAATTTTGTGAAAAGTTGGTTTTGAATTTAACTAGAGAAAAGAATCTAGGAGCCGCTAGTGTTTCTCAAGGTGGGGGAACTTCTGGCGTTTCGGGTGGAATAATTTTTGGTTGTGTTAGACCCCACTTCCCATTTCTGAGCCTCTAGCATCCCAGGCCCATTTGACATATCACCTATTAGATGTCAGTCACGCCCTCAAGTCATCGTGACACCTAGGACTCACACACACCTTTCCAAACAGAAAGGGGAGGGCATTGGGGGATGGAAGGTATGAAGGGTAGATGCTTGGGAAGTGGAATTCATACTAAAAACCACTGTGCTAAAAATTATCAATGAAGAACTGCCCTGGTGGCGCAGTGGTTAAGAATCTGCCTGCCAATGCAAGGGACACGGGTTCGAGCCCTGGTCCGGGAAGATCCCGCGTGCCATGGAGCAACTAAGCCCATGCGCCACAACTACTGAACCTGCGCTCAAGAGCCCACAAGCCACAACTACTGAGCCCATGTGCCACAACTACTGAAGCCTGCGCGCCTAGAGCCCATGCTCCGCAACAAGAGAAGCCACGACAATGAGAAGCCTGTGCACTGCAACAGAGAGTAGTCTCCACTCGCTGCAACCAGAGAAAGCCCGCGCACAGCAGCGAAGACCCAACACAGCCAAAACTAAAACCAAACTAATTAAAAAAATAAAGAGAAACCCTCTTCTTAAAAAAAAAAAAAAAAATTATCAATGAAGACAAACGAGGCCTGGCCAGCATGCGACGTTTTCAGCACTGCATTCACAAGGGACGCTCTGCTTTTGATCAGCAGTAATCGGCATTAAGAAAAACATGAAATGCCTCCACGTCAAAGAATTTCCTAACAGTTTTAAAGCTATAATTTAGAGAAGTCTATATTTAGGCCTATCAACAACTCTGTGAAGTATTATTTGG